CACTTTGGAAAATGGCAGGCAATGCTATGATGTTTCACGTTCATTTTCCCACAACGTGTGCACTGGAACAAGATCTTTTTCTTTCCATGCGCTTTCTTCATTTATTCAGTCAGTTCCGACATCTTTCCTATCTGCTTCCCACAACATGGACATGGTGGATTTTTGTCCAGGACCTTCACCACTGGTGTGCCCTTGGTTGGCCCGTCAGTATTAGAGCCCAGGATAGGTGTTGATGGCAATGGTAAGGGTGGGGCCATGGCCCCTAGGGTTGAGATTTTGTCCTCCTCTTTGCTCTCAGTCTCTCCCAGCCGTGGGCTGATGGTAATGCCTGTGAGACTCAGAGAGGTAAGGCAGCACAAGCACTTGCTATGTCCCCCCAGTGGCAGCAGAAAGGAATGTTCAGAGAGGTTTGTGTTTGCTTCATGTGGAGCAATTCATGAAACCCAAACTGGAAAGCATGTATTTACCAGCTCCTACCCAAATAAAGCAAAAATTTTGACAAAGAAAAAAAAAAAAGAGGCAAATGCATAAGTTTGCTGAAGATGTCAGAGCGATGGTATGAAGAGCGGAGCTTGGAAGATTTCAGCACTGATCCCTAAGCCTCAGCTGATCCAGATCTAAACCTTAAATTAAAACTGCTCAGTTTCTTCCCTTCTAAAGCCAGGTTTTGCAAAGTTGTTCCCTACAAACAATCATTTCAATTATCATTCAGGGTACCTATAATGACTGCCATGAAACAAGCAACTATAATTTGCTCACAGAATTAGCTGACCATCTAGCTACAACTGTGGTCACAGTTTGCCTAAGATTAATTTCCTAAAATGTTCAGTTCAGGCATGAACACTATATAGGTATTACAGCACATATCTGTGAGGTCCTCACATATTTTTGAAGACATTTCAAACTAACAAATGCCATTGCCTGAAACCCTGCAATAGATTCTTGTATGATTTGGTCAGACCAGTTTCAACAGCCATTGTAGAAGCCTATACAGAAAACAAGTTATTGCCTGAGACTGGATAAAGTAGTGACTGCCTCAAGCAGAGTGCTCTGAGTACCAATAAAGGCCCTGTTACCTAGCCCTCTCAATTCTCCTGGCCAATATCTAAATGCTAAATTGTATTATCTCTGGCCAGGATATTTGTTTGTACATGCACTGTTGGAGCCCTTGTTTTGATACCTAGTCATTGCTGAGGTGGAAATAACCAACAAGAGATGAAATTCTAAATGAACAAAATTATCTGTGTATGACTCAAAATTGTGAGGGAAGTTGTCCTGGTTTCAGCTGGAATAGAATTAGTTTTCTTTCTAGTAGCAGGCATAGTGCTGTGTTTTGGATTTAGTAGGAGAAGAATGTTGATAACGCACTGATGGTTTAGTTGTTGCTAAGTACTGCTTATGCTAGTCAAGGACTGTTCAGCTTCCCATGCTCTGCCAGGGGCACAAGAAACTGGGAGGGGGCACAGCCAGAATAGTTGATCCAAACTGCCCAAAGGGCTATTCCATACCATATGACATCATGCTCAGTATAGAAACTGTGAGGGGGTGGCCAGGGAGCAGCGATCGCTGCTCGGGAGCTGTCTGGGTATCGGTCGGCGGGTGGTGAGCAATTGCATTGTGCATCACTTGCTTTGGATATTATTATTACTATTATCATTATTATATTGTTATTATTATCGTTACCATTTTACTTTATTTCAATTATCAAACTGTTCTTATCTTGACCCAGGAGTGTTTCTCACTCTTACTCCTCCGATTCTCTCCCCCATCCCACCGGGGTAGGGGCAGTGAGCGAGCGGCTGCGTGGTGCTGAGTTGCTGGCTGGGGCTAAACCACGACAGAAGTGGATAAATAGAAACTATGAACATACCTGTAAATATATGTATAATATATGTGTGTGTGACAGGGTATATACCACCTTGTTTTTATCAAACAAGGATTTCATTTCATTCATCCCCCTCTCCCCCAACCTCTAATTTTACCCAGGTGGTCATGAACAAGCACTGAATAAAGGCTGCCTCAAAAACTTCAGTAAACTCTACAAAAACAGATAGCAGAGAATGTTTAATTGCTTCCTAAGGTGTTTACAGATATGATGGGGGGGGTTCAGATATGATGATGTTTCTGAATTAGGAGGTGCTGTTCAGAAATTATTCTAATTATTTCGATATAGGCCTATGAGGAGGAGAACCTGCTGACTAGAAAGAATTTTGAGCTTCTTGCAGCCGAGCCAGCTAGTCCATCTCGTCACCTTCTCCTGTGGATGGGGGATTTTAATGGCTTTGATCTTGAAGTCTGTGTGGTCTCTACGCTGTGAAGCTGCATAAGCATGGATTACAAACTCTGTAATTAACTTACAGATATGATAAAAAGGTCTATTTAAAATGGTAGTGCCACTACAAAACTTGCCTGTCTCTTTTCCTTCATGCACTTGTGCTTTGTGGCCCAGGTAGCATCTTCAGATGAGAGAGTAACTTTAAGTGCCTGGCACAAACCATAATGACCAGTGAGGTGTGTTTTCTGTAACCCTGATTCTCCTTTTCAAGTCATTTAAGGTCAGATAGTGGAATGGAAGTTACAGGGGTGTTTGTAGCTGTCACTCTGTTCCTTTTTAGAAAACTTTTACGTAACAAATAAGCCTGCTGTCATGGCATGTTTCCTGTGTTTAGAAACAGATACTTGTTGGAACATATGAGCTAAAACCTCCAGTTAACTCGACAGTGATTTAGACTCATTGGAGTTAAAAAACCTCCCTCAGTGGGTATGCGGTGTTTGGCCGCAGCCTTCTTTGCATTGTGGGGGGAAGAGAGAAACCGTTCCAGCTACAAGCCGATGTCCACAGACCCCTTACCCAATGGGCCAGAGCAGCTCTTGTGCAACACAATGCAAACGTGACTGCATAGCTTTGGAGCCACTTTGCAACTGGGTTTATTGCTGCATTTACAGAATACCACATCTGAGCTCAGATACTCCCCAAGAGACTGGTGCTGGCTTCAAGCTGGGAATGTCCTGCAGAGACACAGGCAGAACTTCCTGGCTCAGGATATTCTGATGGGGGTTTCGGTCTGCCTCTGTGCTTGCGTGACACTGTGATTGTGCTAAAAAATCCCTCTCCGAATTAAATGGGGACAAAACAACCTGATCAGATTGTACAGGAGGCAGCAAGGCGCATCCCAATTATCAGGTAAGAATTGTTCATTACAGGATCTGCTGCCTGTATTAGAACAAATCCCCGTTTTCTCTATATGGCAGCTACTGTACTAATGCATATAAGCTACCAGTAGTTAATGTTCTCTCTTCTATGGTGTATTTAAAATATCAGTGCTCTGACATTCACGTCTAACTCTAAATAGGCTAGCTACAAGCTGGGATTTCAGTGGCTTCTGTGCTTTAGATTGCATGAAATTGAACATAGCCAGACTTCCTTCAACAAGTTGAGTATAATGGGAGGACTGTCACCAGAAAGGTGACGGTTACTGACGGACATCTGGCAGCCAATGAAAAGGAAAGCAATGAATCTGCTTCCTTACTTTCCCGTTTGCATTTTTCCATTTAGATGACAAAATTCTTATACATCTCTCTGTATGGGAGGAATAACAGGTGTCTTTTGTCATGAAATCATATGTAGGAACATATGGCTCCATATATATAGGCTATGCCTTAATGCAAACTCTTCTGTCCCATTAATAAGACCTCCATTGTTAACGATAACTCAGCCCCTGATTGTAACAACTAAGACAACCTCATATTGACAGAAAACACTATTGAAATGTTGTGCATCCTCACGTTCTGCAATCCGTAGTTTTATCCTTGAAAATAAATGACTTGGAAAAGCAAGAGGTGGTGTTCAGCATTCATTTTGGGAGTTACATTGAATGCAAGTAGCTGTTTGTACTCACAGAGGATGGAGAACGGAAAGATGGGAAAGAAATTAAACTGGGATATGATGCAGAATGAAAATATTTTTTCCAGTATTTCGTAATAGTCTTTCTGGAGCAACAAAATTTTTATTTTGCTTTTTTTTGCATCATTTTTTGCATCATGAAGACAAGCAGTTAGAGGAAGAGGTCCGAGTAGACGAGAGGTGTGAGAAATTAGGCCAAGTCTGGGAACGAGCCTTTGATGAGGTCTTGTCTCTAAAATGCATACACAACTGTAATAGATTTCCCAAGTTCTCACTATAGTATACAAGTGAAGGAAAGTACAAGAAATATTGTTCTCAGTTCCTATTTATATTGATCAAGAACACGAGGCAAAAATACAACTAAGGCAAAATTTTATTTTTTTTTGGTAGAAAGAAAAATGAAGCAGTCTTATAATTAAGCAGTATCTTCTGGGTTTCTTCTGCAGCAGGACTTTCACCAAGCCTCATTAAACTGACAGTCTTACTCAGTGCATCTTCTTTTCAAGTAAAGCAAAAATGAGATTACAAATGTCTATTTGGAATATTTCTTCTGACCATGACACCTGAATGCCCATTAAAGGGGGATAACAGCCACCACTATTTTTAATCACCCACTTCTTACGCTCTATCAGTTGTACCAATGCTTTCTCCAGTTGCTTCCCCACTTATTTTTTCACTTTGTGCAATCCCAAACATCAGTGAAACTACTGCATTTTTGTCAGTTCCACAACTCGGCTCTTGCATGCTGGCACCTAGTTCAGAAATTGCTGTCCTAACCCAAATAATGTTAAATTACTATACATTTGAAGGTCAGTATAACATACACGTACATCTTCACACTACACTTGCCTGTTAGGCAAATGCAATATTACAGTATTGATTTTACTTGCACTTAGGTAAAAGCGGAACTCTATTTGCCTGCAAAGCAAGAGATTTTGAACAGTATTGTGAATTACATGTACATGTGTTCCTTCTGTAGTCTCATATAGCTATATGCATACACAATTTAAGCAATGAAATGGTTTTTAGCTTGTTCTTTGTAGAGGACACTTGCTACATGCCCTAATAATCAGTTATCTGAAAAAAAACCCCAAACAAAACTGCATAATAGTGCTTTAATATTAATTTGTTAAAATCCAGAACAGCCTTAACAGTAGCTGTTAAGTGGTTACCAGTCTCTTCCAAAGACATGCAGTAATAAAGAAAAAACTCTATCCTTAAGCAGCATCTGAGAAAACAACTTAACGTAGCTGCCACTTAGTGGCAGCAATTGTTTAGGCATTTTTGGTATTGACATATCTCTTTATCATATAATTTGTGCATTAATCAACAAAAACATAGGCCCCAATCCAGCAAATACTTGCATGTGTGCAAATGCTTTTGTTCCACGTGGAATATTTCAAGTTAAGACTCATCAGATGAGCAAAGTTAAGAACGTGCATAAATCTTCACAGGACGGTAATTCTTAGTGCTTAAAACTTCACTTATTATTTCATAGACTTAAGATCCAATTCTAGACTTAGAGAACGTAGGAAACACTCTTATAAAGAACAGATATGTTGCTTTAAGATAAATGTTTTCAAAGCTAACAAGAGCCTCTAGAAATGTGTGTGCCTTCTCTCTGAACACTTTAATCGTACTTGGGAGTAATATGGGTCCAGTCTTACTGCCCTAGCTCCTGGCTACTGCATGAGGAATCAGTAAAGTGCTTGTCACAAATTCTGCAGTTGTGGAATAAAATAAAATTTAAGTACCTTCAGAATGTTTTCAGATTTGTAAACTATGAATTAAGGGCTAGTGTCTGATCGCCAGCATGTTTCCCTGAATCTGTAACAAATATTATGTTCTTCATACTGAAGATAAATTAGAATTCTGCTAGGACTAGGTATATTTCACCTTTGTCCCAGTGCAGTCATCCTCTGCCTCCAGGGGAAAAGCTTAAATGGATTTAGTTTCAATGTAAATGTTCATGCTTGACCGAAGTGTGATGCTCATGCAATTTCATGAGCACCAGCATTCAATGTGACAGTTAGCTTTGTTTAATCAAACATCAAGCACCAGTATTGTTTACAGTATATCCACTCTGAATTGTATTCATAATTTGTTCCCAAACGCACCATAATCCTGAGAGATCTTGCTTGCTCTTTGACCTTTCCTTTGATTTGATGTGTTTTGTTTCCCTTGAATAAAGTATCTTTGATATTAGCTTGGATATAAATTGTATTGATCTTTGTGACATCTTCTCATTAACATACTTCTGAATATTTAAAGTACTAAAACTTTCTCTTTATATAGATACATATTTATATTTTAAATTTTTTGCTAGCTTTCAGATAATTAATCTATGAGAACTGGCTTAGACTGTATGCTCTCTGTAGAGAACTTCTGTATGCTCTTCATACAAAAACAAATAATGGTTTGAAATATTTAGCCATGTGTTTGGATGATTTTTTTTTTTTTTAAAGGCTTCGGTGTTGCTTATATTTATCTTCCAGTCAGCTACAGGATAATAGCAACAGCAAACACATTGACAATGCAGTTCATTGTTCGGTTTTCCCATCTCACTGTGCAGGTTCCTAGAAGAGATTATTACAAAATAAAAATAGAATTCCAGTGTCTTTACTACATTCACTTTATCGCAGTGTAAATTATGTCAAATTAGTATGAATAATTCAGCTGTGATTTAAGGTAAGTACTATTATGTCATCTTGGCTATAAATAGACTACGCTTCTCAAAACATTTTCATTAACTTGTACATTGTTTATTACCTAACATGAGCCTTGTATGCTTCAGACAATTTCCAGGACAGCACAATTTCAGTATCTCTCTTTAAAAGCTGGACTGGCAAAAATCCTTGAAAACCTCATGCTGAAATTGGCAAGATAATCAGACAAGAAATCAGAAAAAAGACTGGATCAAATCCATTCTAGTGTATTTACTTCCTGTAATTTTTCCTCTTCTATTTTATCAATGCTTTACAAGCCAAGGAAACATGAAGATCAAACTGTACTTGTTTACTTTATAATTTTTTTTTTTTTTAACCTTGGTTGACTTTCTAATGCCATCTCTATTTTAAAGCTAAATTTTGGTGCCTTATTCTAAAAAGATCTTTCTGAGTCTGTGACAGACATAGATTAAAATAATCTTGTTTCCCCATGATACTCTGAACCTGGAAAAAATGCATTTAGAACTAATTTAGAAGCAATAAAATGCATCCAAAGCCTGGCTGATAGTTAAACAACTGAAACACATACTGTTAGTCAAACTATTTATGTTTTTCACCAAATTCTGCTCTCCTCCAAAGTAGCGCTGTTCCCTTAGAGCAGACAGGCAGATATGTTTCGGACTAGCCATTTGCATTTACTGCGAGCAACGTTTTACTGCCTCGTCAACTGATCTATGGTTACTGACGAGGATTAAATGTTTTGACTCTTGTTTCAGAATGAAGGCATTTCTACTCCTGCTTCTCATAATTTACAAAGCAATCGCTCTTAATGCAGGCACTGACTGCTAACAAAATACTTCTGCTGGGATTGTAAACAAGCATCTAATCCTGGAAGCTACTGCTTCTACAATCACTCTTGAAAATGTTCAACCTAACTACTACAACTGAGCAATAAGCAACATTTCTTTTACTACAAATTTTCAGCCTGACTGAGGAAACTTACCATCAGTTGTGGTATCCCAGAAGCACGAGCTTGCTGTGTGAAGACCAGCTCCACTCCTCTGCATCACTGCACAGGTTACTGCAAGATACAGTCATAAAAGCAAGGAATTAATTATTAAAGCAAAAGAGGTGAATCATTCAGTACTTCTGAACTGAAGCCTGCATTATGTTTCCAAATGGCTGACAGGCAGCACTCAGTGAAGTCAAAACCTTTTTGACCTTTGACTACCCCCTCGCCCCCAGTATTTTCCTCAAGAACTTGGTATTCATTTCACAATTGTTTTTACTCGCATAAAGACAACGGCCTTAACAAAATGCTTGCTAATAGGATTACAGTTTTTATCTTTTAAACTACTTAGGTATGGCTTGTGTCATGTGCACCTCGAACAGGATTGCAGGTGCTATCCTCACAGGTACAGCAGAAGTCACGCTTGATGAGAGTTGTTCCCCAAAAGTACTGGTTGACTGCTCTCTGAATCCACACTCCAGTAACATGCAGCATTTCTAGACTGACCTGTGATGGTCATAAAACCAGTGACAATCTGAATCTAAGACTTGCAAAACAGAACAGAGTGCAAACACTTGCTATTACATCAACACTCCATGAGAGGACCGAAGGGGGTTAAACTTCTACTTATTTCCATTTCCCTTCCACAGATACACATATAAATATAATGGGACGTGACTTAGCCCACGACTGAAGTCTTTCAAATGTCTGTATTTACAGGAAGCTTAATCCTACTGAAAATTTTATTTAAGATAAACAGTATCTATTTCCTAAACTGATATCAGAAAGTTGATATAATAGTTTTGGGTTGCTTAACAGTCAGGAAAGACGGTGTAACATGTCATCTTCTGTGCTAAGTGCTGCTAGCATGCTTAGCCCAAGTGAAACTGCCACGGTTTTACTGCAGGTATTACTAAAAATCTATACAACAGAAGAGTTCACAGTTTAAAACTTTCTACTGAAGACAGTGCTGCATTCAAATGAACCTTCCAGCAACTATTTATTGTGATTGTGTGTGGTAAAAGTATGACTGCTGGTACTTACCGATGTACTTGTATGTTTTTCCAAGTTTTACCAGATGTGTCAGCGACTGTTCTACTATAGCAGCAGTCCACTGGTTGACTTTGTTGTGATTATAATCTGCCTTGCCTAAAACACTTTCTATGCACTAAAATAGAGGAAAAAAAATAGTTACAGCAAACATACTTCAAAATATAGAGGTTTAAAACGTTGCATAATCTGAGGAATTCTATCTGGCAATTGGATTACTTTAAATCTCTTGAGCTCCTCAGGTATCACTTGCTGAATGGGAAGTAAAATGAGCCTTCTCAGAAACTTATTTTTAGTACATATTTACCACCTTATTACATGGAGAAAGATGAGGCTCTGACTGAACATTTCTTGTAGGACAGACCTTAGCCATACGCTTTAAGTACCAAGTTAAGTGAATGGATCTATTTACCAGTGAAAATATTAACACATCCCACTGTTCCCAATGACTGCCTACTCTAGCTTGGCTTTCAGAAGCCACCGTAATGGAAATGGTACAACCCAAATCAGTAATGTCAGCTTGGGCTGGCCAACCCTTCAGAGCCTGTGAGCAATACACAAAAATCTTCAGGGCTAGAGAGACAATAGTGAAATGCATACCCCAGCTTAAAAGATGAGGAAGATATGAGAGTGCGATGGTCATATCTTGCAGCACAAGAAATATCTGAAACTGCTTGAAAATTGCATGTTCTCCCACAGCTACAGATTGGCCAACCCTTGCTTAAACTTAAAATCATTGAACAGAAAAGCCTTCTCTCTAATTGTAACTCTCAAACTGCATTCTCTACTCCTAAGAAATTCAAAATTACGTGCTGATGGGTACTTCCTAGAATTGAGAAATTCGGTTAAGAAATGCACGCCTGGAAAAGGTAAGTAAAATAAAACTATGTGTCCTGGTTTCGGCTGGGATAGAGTCAATTTTCTTCCT